AAATGAAATAAAATAATAGTTTGGAATTTCTGAAATTAAAAATAATAATAATAATAATAAGTTTTATAGATTTTAGAAAATAATCATATTTTTCTAATATAATATTAAATATTTAAGTATTTAGTTAATTACCTAATTACAAAATTAAAAATAATAAACTTGAAATTGAATAATCTTTCTGCATCTAATCTCTGATTTAAGTAAAATAAGAAATACTTATTACTATATATATTTTATTATATAAAGAAAAAAGTTAGCAAAATACAAATACTTAAATAATATTATAATAATAATATATAGTAATGATACTACAATAATAATATAAATAATAAAAATAATAATAATAATAAATTAATAATAAATAATAATTATAAATAAATAAAATAATGCTAGAATTAATAATAATAATAATAAAAAGGCTATTTTAATATTTTTAAATATTTAAAAATATACTGAATATTTTAATTTTAAAAATTTTTAAAATATTGGGACGAAAAATACAAACAAAAGAGTTATTGCACGTTTTTTCCGATCAAAATTGAATTTTTTATGAATATTTAAGTAAAACAACTTTTAAAAATAATTTAAATAAATAAAAATCTAAAAAAGCTCTCGGCTCGATGCGTGGCACGACGGATTCATCCGCAGTTTTCGGGCAATTATTTGCAATGACTTGCGCATCCATATGCAATGATTGCAATGATTGCAATGGCGGCGCGGGTCGAATCCGTGGCGACTTATCCACGTCATCCAACCCCGGAACCGTTCGATCGCATGCAGTTCGAGCGGAGGGCCTAGATCATGCCACATGGATAGCAGAACCATGAGGCGGAAGTTCGCGGTCAATCCAGACTGCGAAAGAGTCAGATCTCGACCGTCGATCGTAACAGATCTCGTTCCAGGGCATATAAACTCGAACTGAAACCCTAAAACGAAAATAGGCTCGTTCTCGCGATCAGGTAGACCAAATCGTGCGAAATTTTAACCGTACATCCTAACTATGAAGAGCATTCATGGGGGTATAGGCTTTATGTTCTAAAACGATGTAAATAAAAAGTTATTTAAATCTAAGTGTAGTGACCTAGGTTAAGGGTTTTAAAGAAATTTCACCGTTAGATCTTCAAATCTTTGACACGGTTGAGCTTGTATATTGTCCTCATATGTTTCCCTAGTTGAAACCACGATCAATCGAGCTTTGGATTGAATTGATCGAAGCCTTCGACGGATTAAGCCAAACCTCGCCGGGATCTCGCCGTCGGCGACCTTAGCCGCTCGGATTTGACTTGGGAGAGGTGGAAGGAGTTGGAAGGAAGTTTGTCCCCAAATCTCACGAGCTCTGGAGGTTTGGAGAGAGAGAAAATAAAAAACCACCCTCTTCAAAACCTAATTTTTTGCTATTTAAGGCTCTAAGTCTCCAAGGAAAGGCAAGGATTCAATCCATCTATAATCCCTCCCCCTAGCCATGGTTTTTCAGGTTGAAATCAATGGAAGGGAGTTAAATGCAATTAATGGCTCTTAATGGGACTTAATGGGTCATATTTGACCCATTATGACTTGAGTTGACCAAGTCAAGTGTTGACTTGGTCAACCTAGTCAATTAGGTCCATGGAGTCAAGGGATTGAGCCAAGAATGGGTTTGAATAGATGCAAAGTTGATTTGGGCTCTAATGGGTCTAAATGGGTCAAAATGACCCATTAAGGCTTGGATTGACCAAGTCAAAGTTTGACTTGGTCAATTCAGCCTATTTAGACCCATGAAATGATGTGGATGAGTCCAAGGAAGGATTGAAATCAATTTAGAATCCAATTGGGCTTAAATAGGCTAAAGGGGTTAATTTGGGTCAACTCCGGTTGACCTGGTCAACCAGGTTGACCCAGGACCTGGGTCTGGGCTCAACAGACTTGGCTTGACTCCCATAACCCATTGAGATGGGTCCTGGGGTCTAGCCTAGTCAAATTTAACCAGGTTAACTCCTTGACCTAGTCTAGGGCAAAAAATATGTCAACAAGCCCAACTAGCTAAAATCTTACAACTGAAATCAATGAAAGATAAAAGAGAACAATATGCTATAAATCATATAAAGAAATATATGTATCAATGTCTATATTAATTATATTTATTAATTTATCCTTCATAGTTTATCACATCTCAATCCATTACATCATCATTGATAATATCAATAACAGTCAATAACACTAATGTCAATAATAATATTAGTATCATGATCAATAATGTTAAATAATATTAATGATAGTAAATAATATTAGTGTATGTCACAATATCATTATAGTGTTCAAAGCAATGTGTATATCAGTATTTTGATATTCAATGAGTGTATCTTATGAATATCTTGTTCCTGCACTTATGACTCCAAATCAGTTGTACCTTATAACTCTTAATCAATGTACTCCTTATAACTCCACTTGAATCACGTGAATCGGTTGTTGCCTAGACTCCATATAACTTCCAATAAATCTCCATCTCCTTATGACTCTCAATTAGTAAATCATGTGGATTAGTAGGATATCACAGGGAGTTATCATATCATATCTTTGATATCATTCAGTACTTCATTTAAGATGCAATAAAATCATATCAAATCGTTCAAACTATAGTATATCCAAACTTGCACGGTGAAGGCTTATGAAAGATGAAAATAATGTATTTTTTGACAAATTTAGAAGAGATAAGGACGTGGCACGTGTCCTCTAACTGATGATTTCGCTATCAAATGACACTACATATAAATATTTATGAACGAGACCCTCTGACGGGATGGTTTTGCCACTAAAAGACACCTTTAAATTACAGTCATGGTTAAAGTCCGTATGTTCTTCAACGACGTTAAATTTTTTAGTAATGAATTAATATGATATGATTGATAGGGCATAAAGCCCTATGGTAGCAAAGGTAGATTTAATTTTTGTCCTCTTAAACAAATATTCACCCTATGTCTATAATGTACCCTTAGACGAAGCAACTCATCGCTTCCAACAAGGATTCTTTTATCAGGTTGGGTCGACTATCTCCACTAACTAAATAGACTAGGGACCATGATGACCCATGACGACAGAACCATGAGATCTTGATCGGGTTTATCATCATCCTTCCACTATCTGCTTTAAGTGCAAGGTGGTGAATTTCTAAATTTTAAATATTAAATTTCCAAATACCTAAATATATTGCTACTATATGCCAAATATTTGACAATTAGTCATAATAGAAAATTCTCTCTCATTATCGGGAGGATCGGGAGGGGGCAATTAACAATAGGAGCTTGCGCCTATAGAAAACCTGGACTCATATCATAAAGTCCTCGCAAAACATAGGCTAAATCTCAAGGTACTGTCTTATTTAAAATACAAACTATCTTCTAAAAAATTTGTCTCAAAACTTATACGTTAAAACTCCCATCAATGACTCGACAAAAAAATAAATAAAAGGAACCATAGAGAGGTTTTAAAACCTCAACAATTAATCCATCCCCATCATTATCATTTAAATTTTCCTTAAAATACTAAATAATTATACATCTATAAAAAATTAAAAATAGAACGAATTAAAATTATAAACTAATCTTAATATATATATATATATATATATATATATCTTAAATAAGAACTTTCAAATATTCAAAAATCAAAAACACCTAACATGATAATTAAAAATAAAATACATAGTAATGCAATTTGTTACCATAATATTAAAGCAAAATAGAATATTTTAATCTTTAAAAAAAAAATCAAGACACGTGATTAAAATTTTTCCACGCATCAATTAACTTTAACACAAAGTTAGTTGACAAACTTCATTACATACTTATAACACCAATCATAAAATCTCTATTAAACTCACATATCATGTTAAAAATGTGGCTAATTCAAAAGTTTGTAAGACCTATAATTGATCCTCAAATTGGAAGTCAAATATTTAAGTCTTTGTTTCGAACGGCTTTTTTTACGCTTCTTAAAACAGCTTTTCAAACAAAGTCTAAGACTTCATTTGAAACGGTTTTTTACTGCTTCGTAAAACAATTTTTTAGTACAAAAGTTAACATTTTTATACTCAAAAACTACTTTAAGTAGCAGTAAAAATGCCGTCTCAAATGAAACCAATCTCTAATATATATATCAAAAGTATGCAGATATTTTGATTACATCAGTTTATCTAACAAATATAACACGTGAGTTTTCTCGGGCTCCGACCTGAGATGTAATTAACCACATGGGCTTTCACCCATGGGAAACTTGGCTCCACTTCTAATAAAACACATCTGAGCTAATGTATCAGGTGGTGAAAACCTGTGATTGTGATTAGATCGTGTATATTACTACCCATCGGGCTGCGCTGGCGAGAGCCGCTATCCTTAATGGTTAGTCGTATGCACGATCCAATCTATCTCTTACAATTGATCTGTTCGTGTCGAGAGTAAAAGCCTACGATCATTTTGTCCTACGGGATAGTGCAGCCGTACCCTTTGCATTCGGACCCCACGAGCGGTGCTCTTTCGGAGGTCCACAGTAGTGCATGCATCTTATGTATATTATTAAATCAATTAACATATCAATATATTATATATATCATCACGTATGCCAATGAGTCATTATTTCATCAAAAATAAATGTTATGTTCATGTATATTAATTATTATGGATCATATCATATCATAATCATCAATGTATATTAAATATCAATAATCATATGATAGTATCTTGTGTTTATATCTATAATATACAAAATAAGCCTATTAAAATAATCATGTTCCATTAGGGACATTATCTTATTATAATTTATACTAGTGTCGTATATCATTGGAAATCATCATATTTTACATCAATCATATACATAATAGAATGAATGTAGAAATCATGAATAGTTATAAGTAATATTCTTTATATCATCATATCATTTTAGATCATAAATATCATCAAACCTGAACGACTCACGAAGAACATAAATATCAACAGAATATCTGATTATTCAAAAGACTAGTGTTCAACAGTATTAGAAGATCTCATTAAACTATTTACAGAAATCACAAAGAACATAAAGATCGACAGAAGATCTGATTATTCAGGAAATTAGTGTTCAACAGTACAGGCGATCCCATTAAATTATTTACAGAAATCAAGCTGTACAACTTATTAATTGTGGCAAGACATGAAAACAGCAGAAACAAATTTTGAACTTCTACTGCAATCTATTTAATGAAGGTTTGAAGTGAGAATACCAAATGTATTCTCTCCACTGTATGTGACATAAAGAAATCCATCTTCATCTTTCTTTTCTTCATATATTTTTGACATAACAGAACCTAAGGAATTAAAAAAAAAATTATTGATGCCTTTCTGCTAAAACAAACTTCAAATTTTTGATAGAGAAAAACAAAAACCTGTTGGTGGAAGCACGTTATCGACAAATATAAAAATGGCTTTCTCTGCACTCAATTTGATTCTCTTACGAATCACATAAACAAATTGGCCTACTGTCAAGTCTGCAGGAACCAAATATCTGCATATCCAATACGCAACATTGTTTGGTTAAATTAACCTATTTCAAAGAGAAAAAAAAAATAATTTGGATGGGCTTTATTGTACACTATAAATGATATCCAAGAGCCGCACAAATATCAGCATAAATCTAAGGGTAAGAAAACTCATCCTCATGCAAATTCCATGAGATATATACTAACACAAATTTTTTTTTTTTTTTTTTCAAATTAGTAGCTAACCACTACAATGAGAATAATTATCATAAATACATATTGGAGGCTTTAATCTATTTTAGAATTACAAGCACATTAGCGAGGAAGTTATACTGATAGAAATGCTTTCATGCATCTCAAGAAAAAAAGAAGTATTGCTAGATTTGAATTTCTACATTCCCAAGAGAGGAAAACCTCTACTTTGTGGCATTTGATAAACTGATTAGAAACATATAGCATATAACAGATTTAAGGACATGCAAATAGAAAAAATCAGCGGTGTTCATTCATAGCTATACAAGATTATGGATAGAACAATCATGCCATATAGCAACTTTTATTTTCATAAGAAAATCAGCATGTTCTACTTTACTATACCAGCATTTCTACGATTTTGTAAATAATTGATGTATGAATTTAAAAAAAAAAAAAAACATTGAAAGGAACCATAGCCCATTGGTTAGTAGAGAAGATTTTTAAATGCAATTTCTGCTCACTATTCCCACAAAAAATAGAAATCCAAAAACACGTTAATGAGTACAACAAGGACTTACTTTTTCTTGTCAATGTTTGTTATATCACTTCTCTCAGCCTTCTCCACAATTACCTTTAAGAAATAAACATAATTCAATACAACCACCACATAATCATATCAATTACAAACCATAAACCCTTTGAAAATACAACCAAACAATGAAAGCAACAGCCTCATCAATGAGGATAGAGATAAACTAGTAGCAAAAAATCGAGTCAATCAAACCTCATAATCCAATCAACATACTGAAGTAACAGTTCACCAATGCAAAATGATGCCTATTAGCAACAAACAATAAATATAACCACTTCTAAAATAGATATTTTTTTCCTTCCTAGTTTTCAAGATTACTCTTCAGATTATTCTGTTCATGCCAAACACAATCAGCTAATAAACATAATAATAAATCTCAGATGAATTATAATGAATGGTGATAACTTTTAATACATAGAATTAGTTCTAAAGAAACAGATTAAAAGTTTTCTTCATCTAAACAAATAGTATATCAATAACATCAATAGATGAATGGTAAAAAAAACATAAAAACCTCATCTAGGAATTAATATCAAATACAAATTTCATGAGATGTATGTTTAGGCCAAATTTTGCACTAGTTCATCAACTGGAAATAATATTTGACAAGCTGAAATAAAGTCAAACACCATTGCCATGCAGATGGAATAGAGCTTTTAACGACAAGTTCACAGCACAAATCAAAATTAGAATACAAAATTTTTTTGGAAAAGCAAAATAGATAAAAAGTATAACCAAATGAAGCCTAAAATTTTAATAGACAAAGCAGTCCCATCACAGATTTAGCAGAACTATAGAAGATGAAAAAAAAAAATCCACGTTGACTAAGATAATCACCAAATATATTTGAACCAGAAATTTGCCGACCAGATGAAGACAAGCAATCACCCAACAAATAGTTTAAAGCATCTTCTAAACATACATACTTGAACTATCAATATTAAGAAGAACAAAAAAAAACTTGAGCCTGAATCTGCTAGGAAATTCCAAGATTTAAACCGCGCAAAAGAAAATCAATGAAAAATCAAATAGAACATCGTTTCATCCATAAGTCAATATTTTCTAAGGTAACTTATATGAACTAATCTTCATGAACAAAAACGTCCAGAGAAGTAAACCTCACCGGAATTCTATCCGGGTACTTTTCTCTAATTCTAGCAGCCTCGGCTCGTCTCTTCTCTGTACATCACAAAGAGAAGTCATCAATCAAAAGAATGACCGTCCGATCATCCAATTAAAACAAAGGGGACAAAGACGCAAAAAGAAGACGAAGCAGATTATACGAACCAAAGTCATGAACCAGCTTGAACGAACTATTCGCCATCCTTTTTGCAGTTCCCCGCTGCATAAAACATCATTATTCGATTCACATCTCCAAAAACCCGTTACAAAATTCAACGATTTTTAAACAGAAATTAAAAATACAAAATAACAAAAAAAACCCCGCTTTTACTCGACATCAAACACCTGCATCTGACAAAAAGAACTGCAAGCAGATTATAGAGAAGGAACCGAGAAGATCGAATAGAAAGGAAAGGGAAAAAGAAGAAGTCTTGCAGATTAAAACGTACAAAGTAAGAAAGAGGGAAACCTCAAGAGAAGGAAAGAGTGGAAGGGGCGATCGATCCGGAGAGCAAGATTAGGAAGGAGAAGAGAAAGACGATTCCTCAACGCTGTTTTTGCTTCCGGATGAGGGCGTGCGTATATTAAAAGTGTCAAAAAAAGTGAGCTTGAATTAAAATTATTTTAATTAGGATAAAATATTACAGTTGCGTCTGCGTGGTAGGATCACTCAGAACAATAAAAAAAGAAATATTTTTTTATTATTTTTTAATAAATACATTTAATTTCATATATTATATAACTTTTTAGTAAAATTAAATTAATAGCAATATGAGTAAATTATTAAATAAATATACCTAAATTAATAATCAATATAACTATATTATTAGATATTTATAAGTATTATGAATATCTAATCATTTAATTATAATATATTTAAAAATAAGTAAATATATTTAATAATTTAAATTATATATTTTAATTCTATTAAATGTATATATATCAAATATTTGATATAATTTTTTAAAAATTATAATATACTAACTTATTATGAGAAAAATGCTTTTTTATTAATGAAATTTATTAATAATTATTTATTTTATTTAATCCATAATACTAATATTATTATTTGTATTACTTGAATGCATTAATGTGAATAAAGGTCTCAATTTTATTAATTAGTATTAATCTAAAAATTATTTTCATACTTTCAAAAAGCAAGCTAAAATTTGTCATAGCATAAGAAGGATTTAGGCTTAATAATATTTTTAAAATTTTGTATTAATTATTTCCTTTTACTTAATTACAATATCTTTTAGTTTTATTTTTAAAATAGCTATTTTAAAAATTTTAGGCAAAATTTTTTATAAGAAAATGTATAAATAATTATTGCTAGTCATATTTATTTTTTGAAATTTAGTTTTAGATATAATTTCTAGAAATAGTTTTTAATTCATATTTTTATTAAAAATAAGATTACAATTTTTATACGAATATTTTTAACTACAACAATAACCACGTAATCCTTATAAAAATGCAATTTTAAATTAAAAGAAAAAGTAAAAATAAAGGAAATTTATCTATTTTTTAAAATGTGATTAATAATGTGATCGTTAATCACAATATTATAAAATATATAACAAACTATAAACTTTTCTACTGCGTCTAACAGTAATAAATTTAAACATTTTTTTTAAATAAGAAAACATTTATAAGAGATCTTTATTATTATTAAATAGTATTATTATATTTAAAAGAAAATTTTTCTTATTTTCATGGAATATGTTTAAATTTTTTATAATTAGACTAACAATGGTCCAGACCTAATAATCATAAATTTAATTTGAAAATATTGTATTATGGTTTAGGGATGACAATATTTGACACGGCCCGAAAAATTGACCCCAACCTGACCCAAAAATTTCGGGTTATGGTCAAACCATTTCGCAAACGGGTCGACTTTAGGTTCCAAAATTCGACCCGCAAGCCCTAACCAGCAGAGGCCTTAGGTTTCCTTTTCCTCTTCTCCAGCGGTCCCCGCTCTGTGATTCGCGATGGCTTCAACGACGTTCCTTCGAGGCTTCAACCATTCGACGACTTCTTCACCGCTTTCGATGACATTCCTTCCTGTGGGCTCAGAAGTCACGACAGTTTGCCATTCTTCAGTCGAATCGGAAGTCACGACAGCTTGTTATTCCTTCTTATCGCCTCAGAAGTCACAACAGCTCGTCGTTCTTCACCTCCTTCGACGACGGTCTTTCTTGTCATTTCATGTCGGGTCAGGTCAACTCGAAAACCTGAAGGGTCGGGTTCGAGTTGTGTCAACCAATGGCGGATCAATGTCGGGTTCAAACTAAACTCGACCCACAACTCAATTTTTACACCCCTATTATCGTTGAGCTACATGATGCTTAGTGTAAATTATAATGTTGATATATTATAAAAAAATTCAAAATTAAATTCAAGACCATCAGAATTCTGATTTTAGAAAATTTATAGCTGAACTGAAGGTCTCAACAAGATGAACCAAAAAGTGGTCTAATCCAAGTTTGAATGAGACCAGATCAAGTACTTAAAGCATAATTGAAACTTCATACCATTAATTAGATGACCAAATGATATCCAAATCTTGAATGCTTATAGTCTCTTAGAGCATCTCGACAAGATGGATCCATAAACTCAGTACCTCTTAATTCTAACATCATTATTGCACTTAAATATTGAAAGAACGGTCTATGATCGATGGAATCAATAAGAGTAGTCAATAGATAGTTTCAAATTTTAGCTATATTTACGATGCATTCCCTCTCTAAAATCTAAAAATAGCCACTCTTTACATGGAAGAGGGACATGGAGTTTAAGCTTGGACTTCGGATTCAAGAGAGCTTAGAGGCTCTAAAAAGCTTCATGCTCTACTCAAGCATCATTGTCGAGTCATCCTCGGGCTACCACTATCAGACCATCGTCAAACCACCACTATTGGATTATTTCTAGACTGCAATCATCAAAACATTGTATGATAACCACTATCAGAACAAAACCATCAACATTATATTATTGCTTAATCACCGCCCTCAAGCCCACCATAGAATGTGGTCAATGAAACACCACCCAACTGTCACTATTGGCACTAAACCATCGTTGTTGGAACACATCCCAGCCACTGCCATCGGAACATTGCCCTACCGATGCTTTAGAATACCGCATGATCGCCACCATATGAACACTACCTGATTGTCATTGTCACAATAATGTGACCAAACTACAATACTCCAAACAATGTTGCCTGACTATGGTCCTCTACTCACAATTGTCCAATGACAATCTTCTAGCCACCGTCACCTAACTATGGTCATTCAACAACTGTCGCCCAATTATGATCATCTAACTATCATTGCCTTATTGAAACTTATGAGCCAGACATATTATTTTGATAATTTTAAAGATTATTAGTTAGATCATATATCATTCTCTGTAATATATATTTGTTATTTTTGTGATAAACTTAAATTTCATGTACACCATACAATAAGCCAAGCCAATGAAGAGAACTAAGGAAATTGTATCATTGTGTCCAATAAAAACTTGTAATAATAGCCAACATTTTTTATTTTTTGAGTCTTTGTGTATTTAGGTGTATGTTAGAAAGAGAACCAAGCACATACTCATGAGTGGAAATGAAAATTGAACATTTGGTTTTTCTGTTAAATTGTAATGCACAATCCATTACTTTAGAAAATAAATCAAGTATTTAATAAAATTAATAGAATTAAAATTCAACATAATTAATCATATTGTACAACATTGATAGTAAGGTTATCTTGATAAATATCCACTCTTGAATTTGAGTTTTCAAATTTAGATAAATTTAACTTTTAAAATTTGACCTGTCGTATTATACAAACATATTTATAATATATGATTATTAATGAATGTTGCCTAATTTAGATCAATAATTAAGCAATCAAATCAGGATCAGATCATGATTAGCATTATAATGTATGATCTAAATCATCCATTTTGATCTAATAGAATATTTGGCAGAGAAACCATGGTTCATCTAGGATGATTCCTAATCAAATTTAATTGATCATGATGTACGATTCATATCATACAATCTGATTTAGCGTAACTCAAAAATTTATACCAAACTAATTATATAATATAATCCACACTTTATACTATAAGATCACTCAACTAAAATTGAAAATTAGGGCTTCCTTTAAATAGCCCATTATGATTCTTTTCATAACAAATGTGTGTGAGCCAAGTGAGTAACCAGAGCCATTTTTCCCTAAGAGAGAATTCTTTGGAGAGGAAGAGATGTTTCTCCTTGCTTGAAAGAGTTGTGATCTAATCCACTTCAGAGAGAGAAGGTGAGTTTCACAAGTTGTTCCCTAGGGAGTCAAGGGTTATATGAGGGACTTAACATGGTTGTCCTCATCAGCTTGCACCTTGGTCCTGTAGATTATGGTTTTTTGGAGCTCTTGGGAAGAAGTCTTGGGTGTAAGACTTGTAACTAGCCAAGGAGGCTAGGGAAGCAACATCCCCAGCGTTGTGAGGAGAAAAAGGAGGGAGCAGCATTAATGCCATTATGAGGAACAAAATGAGGGAGTCTAAGCTATTTGGGTGTAAGAGCTTGGAAAGTTATTCTTTACTTGCAAATAGAAAAGATCCTCTCTACCTTACTAATGCAAAGGAGTGTTTACTAATGAAATTCCCACTGAGAAGGATCTTTTGAGAGTAGACATATGTCACTCCCTAAAATCTAAATTAGAATAATCGTGCATCTCTCTATTATTTCAATTAACTATTAGAGCTTATAAATTACATTAAAAATATATAAATAGCAAAAAGATATAAATATATTTCTATAATCAAAATTTACACCCTGACCCAAAGTCTAAAATGACATATACAATAGCCATAATATGCAACTAGCAACAGTACATTACTACAAATGCATCATGACTATGAAAGAATAAAAGAAAGATCGACATATGCTAAAAAAAATTTCAACCTGCATCCCAAAATAATCTCAATCAATAAAATCCTCACCTTTTTTCCTAAAAACATGTAAAAATCATATAATTAGCACATAACTCAGCAAGTAACAAATATTTATAACTGAAGTCAATGCATCAAATAGAAATAGTAAACATATAAATGTAGGAACATGTAACAGTCAATACATCATATAATTCATATACAGACTTATCATATCATATCAATCATATCCTCATTACATATTACATATTCATATCAGTACCCTTTAATCCTATATCTTGTATACTCATTAGTATGCATGTAATATGTCAAATGAACAATAACCATATGTATGTCATATATCTTATTTCCATATTCAGTACCTTAGCATATGATCATTTTGCCCTTAATATTTTTCTACTCATTTTATATAAAATAACATATATAAAAAATTGACCAGTAAAATTTTCATAAATACCAAGTCAAAATGTTTAGAATAATGACATTTATCGCATACAAAAGTTACATGGTGAAAGTTCCTGATAATGGGAAAGATAACATTTTTATTACTTTCAGAAGGGAGAAATATACCAAAATCAAAATTACTGAAAATAGAAGTATAGTAGAGGTCACTTATAATTATCAAAATCCTTTTTTATTAAGAGTTACGGATAAAAAAGATCCAGTGAGCTTTCTCTCT